AAGGGGCAGGGGGTGGGCAGCTGGAGATCTCAGAGAAAACAAAATGGGCAAAGATGGTTTATCAACCAAAACCTCTATCCACATTTACTTCACCTCAGGGAATCCCATTTCAGGCACACAGGTGTGAGTTACTGGTGAGGGTTCTCTCACCACAGAACTGACAAGGCCTGCACCCAAAACAGCTGCGAGCTGTTACTTATGTTTTCTTTATTTTCTCTTTCCAGCCCTGCAGCACTATAGAGTCAGTGGAGGTAGAAACTGCAGCTTCTATAAGCATCAGTGGCTCAATGAGTTGTCGAGCCTATATGCATCAGAAAGCCACTGCAGGGGAGGCCGTACAGGTACAGTGTTAGATCCAGGGGAGGGTCTGTGAGACTGGTGGTTTTTTTTTTTACCACATGTTGTAAAGAAAAAATTCTTGCAATGAAAGGATCCCATACTATTTCTCAATATAAACTATCTGAAATGTGCTTGTCTTGAAATATTTCATGGCTTACTTAGACTGTGCTGTAAATCAAAATTTCCCAGCTTTTTAAATCAAAGTTTAACCCACCCGCATGTGAGGTACACCGTGAGCTGTGTTGTACAGTGTTTGTTGAAACATAATTATTTCTCATAAGTTATGAGTTAATGTTTTCAACCTCGATCTCAATCGTAAAAATGGCACACTGATGTCATTGTAATAGTGTGAATCATATTGACTTATCACTTGTTATTGATTAAAAATAAAATACACTTTCTGTTGCTGAATGTGGCTTAGATAACGCTAATTGATGTCTTAGACCTTAAAGCCTTTGTGAGTTATATCGTAATTGCATTTATTATCCAAATGTACTCCAGAAATATCTGCAAAATCTACTCATACTGAAATAACAATTTGGGGTGTTGGATGATAAATCTCTTATTAAACATTTTGTTGTGTACAGTAGTATTGCTGAGTATTTTTACGAGTTTGTATTTTGACTCGCCCAACGGGCACAACTCGTAAAATACTCAGCGATACTACATAATAAAATGTCTAATAAGATAAATGTATTTCATCCCAATCCTTTTAGAGCATATTCAGTTTTGGCAACATATCCTTGTAGTAACAGAATCATGATTTAGGTAATTTTGGTTTATCTACTGAGTTGATAATGTAATTTTGCCACCGTAAAGAGTTTCAAATCTGACGTTTCAAGCGTTAGCCCTTAGCTCGAAACGTCAGCTTTTAAACTCTTTACGGTGGCCAATCAACGCAGTTGATAAAATCCAAATTACCTTGTTATTCCCATCGATGCAGTTCTTTAGAAACTTACCCCCTTTGGAATTTATTTTTTTTGTATCAGTTTGTTTTATTGAGTTTTTCCTTGTTTGTGTGCATATTTTAGGCTTTAAAGTATGATGCCATTCGCTCTTTCCTGGCACGTTGTGAAGTTTTATGTGAAGATGTTATGGACAATCAAGAGGAGAAACCAAACAGTGGTAATTTAGGGTGCTGTTCTTCAATATAGCTATAAAAAAAAATTCTTTTTTTTTTCCTTAAATATTCCACAGCTCTCTCTAAATCTCACTGATCGACTGAACCATCAATGAAGTCTTTTCAAGATGGTAGAAGTTAAAAATAATGTCATTTGCTTAACTACTAGCGTGGGATAAAGAAAATAAAAAGTTACCCACTAGGAACTGAATCTCAGACCTACGGATTTCGCTCTCGATTGTTGTTCCCCAGAGCTAAAGAGATCTCTGTGGGTGAGTTAAGCCATGATCAGATTCATAGCTCTATGAAACAGCGATTATGATAATGCTGGGATCTGCTCAGTCGAAAACGTTTTGCGAGTTAATTGGACATGAGGATTGTAATTTTTTTCACCGTTCAGATGTGCCATCTTTCCGTCATATTCTATTGAAGAAGTTGTTGCCCTTCCATCTGTGAGAATGACCTAGTCTTCCGTTTTTTGTGTGTTTAATTTGTTTTGTCGCCCTAAGAGTACTAGAACTATACAAAACTTCAACCTTATCTTTCTGTTTTATACTTTTCACCCGTATGTAATCGTGAAGTTATATTAATTTTGCAGTTTCTTTCTTTTAATACGAGATGAATACAAGATGCTTCTATTTTTTGTATAATGAATTAGTCTGTAACGGACGTGGCTCCTTCGTATCACTGAAAATAGAAAACAAACCTGTCAGTTTTAAGTAATATGTGAGATAAAAGACGTTCAGTTAGTGGTTCAGATCATCGTTTTTTCTTTTGTTTTTTGGGTTTTTTTTTTTTTTTTTTTTTTTAGAACGGTCTTCAACGTGGACATCTCCTCAAAGAGTGTTTGTCCCTCTTGGCTCAGGACCCGTCACAGTTTGTGATTATGTGTTTAAGGACGAAACATTGAAGGTAATTGCCTAAGTGAATAAATAGTGTGCTTTAACTTTTCACTGGCCTTAAAAATGGAAAAATGGGTGAGATTTCCGAGTCGAACTGGGTCGCGGTCTTGTAGAGTTGGAACCTCTATCTTCTACACTGAAAGTGTCAAACTGTCAAATAGGATAATCCAAAGACAACACTTTTTCCCAGTTTTCTTTATTTCAATGTGCTCATTTCATGATAAACTGCTGCTGATTTGCGAGACTTTCTAATCCTTGTTTGTGTCAGTAATACATTTTCTCTAAAATGATCATGGCGAATGACTTTGCTTTTTTTGTTTATTTTTTTTTTCTTCTTTTTCTAAGGAATCCAAAGAAAGAATCGCAGAGCTCTTAGGTATTGAACCCAAAGAAGAGGACTTTGAATGCAGCGAGGAATTCCCCGGTAAATTACATAACAATTGCGTTCTTTGCTCTTTTCTTTCTTCTGATCGAAAGTGCAACTTGATTTCTTCCATTAAAAAAGAAAACAGATTGCAGAAAAAAGGCATAGTTTGTTTTTTCATGCTGTTGTGAGATTTTCCTTGCTAGTTTTATTGTGAACTTAACAGATGTCCAGACGGTGGGAAGTTTGGTTGAAGAAATGGAAACTGAGGACAATGAAGAAATTACAGAAAGCGAGGAAATTCAACAAGGACTTGGAAGACGTGTAATAGGTCAGTATTAGAAGCATGTAACATACTGGTTAGTATCTTTAGGGCAAACAACGAGATTGGAACTGAAGGGAGAGGAGGTGAAATACGTTCCGTCGACGACTGCATGTTCCATACTGACATTACATCGATAACAGTACACAATAAAGGATCTCTTGGTATTTTGTCAGCTTAGAAAAGTTTATCATTGTTCCCCGTACAAGTTGCCACGCGCCAAACAAAGCAACGTCACGCGCGACATAGCATTCTATTCAAGCACACTCGGAAACGTTGAATCTCAGCACATTCCTGATATTCAGCGGCCTACTGTGTAAAAAAGTTATTGTCAGCTTCAGAGCCAGAATTTAAAGTTGAAAAACTTTTTTTCGACAGGTGCCGTTGTTGGAGTCGTTGTTGCAGTCGTGGCAGCTGGAGTAACTTTTCTTTGGGGCGAAAACACAGGATGAAACAAAACCAAAATAATGTTGATTGATAGTATTTCGAATTACATTAAATTAAAATCAAGCTCTACACTCTGAAAGTTGGTTTTCTTCTCAGTGTTGGTTTGAGCTCAATTCCATTTACCTTCCCTCCTGAACATACCATGGTACGCCTGACTTAACTATAAAGACACCTTTCTTGTTTTCATTTCGGGCGTGAAAAAGTGGGAAGTGGCTCTCGAAATCCCCGTGGCCTTTTTCGAGTCAACTTGAGAAAAATCAGCCGAGATATCCTGGTACGAGGCCTCTACTAGACTCTTCTTTACTGACAGATAACCTTGCAGTGCAAAATGATTCTTTCGCGGGAAAGGGTTCGAGGATCTCAATTTTTTTTTTTTTTTTTTAACAATAGCACCTCTTTTCAATCACAAAAATTCCCTCACGACGAGTCATTTATGTAACATTGCTGGATTCAAACAGTTACGAGGAAAACCAACGATGCCCACGTCAAAGCATAAGTGGATAGCTCGGCACAATTATTTTTACTTAAAGCCCGTAAGAATCTTTTTACAGGAATGAGGAGTGGATCTTATCTGAGTATGGGGCATTTCGGGAAATCGAATTTCTCAAAAACGACTTCATCAAACCACTAAGAAGCCATTTACACCCAGCACCTCCCAACCCCCTTCCCCTCTCCACAAACATTGCTACCCCCCTTTCCAATTTCACCTTTCACCTCTCTCGACAAGCGGTCCGTTTAAAGCCACAAAAAAAGAAAACAAAACAAAACAGATAAACAGATAAAACACCACCATTTCACAAAACTATGTTATTAAACAATAATTTTGTATCATAGCTATTACAACGCTACCTTTAACGACCGCAGCAAATTTAAAATTGCTCTTAATTTTTCAATATGTTTTGTGCGCGCAACACCGAGCAAACCTATTGTTAAGTCTTTTGTCACATAAAAGATAAAAACACGTAAAATATATAGTAATTTGTGATTTAAAGTATAGGCATAACACATTCATATCTGGCATGTATGAATAAATAAAATGAGATAGGCGGGTGAATATTTGGAATAAAAAACTAATAAATAAATACTAATATAAAACAAATGCTATATACTATACAAAATCTGTTGGAAAATACAAAAATAATTTTCAACTACATTCTAACTTCGTATATCATTATACAGTCCGACATTGTTTAAGAAATTCCAGCGCGAAAGTCACTGATAGTTAAGTTTGTAGGGTTGTTTGTTATACTTTGAGAACCTTTACACTTGGACGATAACTCAAAGCAGAGCTTGTGTATTAGATTAAAAAGGTAGAAATTAGTTAAAGAGCACCTTGTTTTAGCAAACTAAGGCAAGTCTGGATGGAGCGCAGCGTAATTAATGACAAGAAAATGTGAAACTTGTATCGAAGAGTTAGCCATGCTGAGAAAATTATTGAATTATTTCATGAGAATGAAATTCGTTAGATTATAATACTGATCTTATTCAAGGTGATAGAAATAAGAGAGAGCTTTAGGGATGGCTTTGCATGAAATTTCGGCGATACATGCACCTCGTTTATATATGGTAGTGGGTTTTCTTCTTGTCTGCAAACGACCAAGAATCTCCTGGAGTTGTTTCCGAGTCCAACCACGGAGAAAGATCACAGCTGACTTCAAAAGAAAGACGATAATGATGAACTACTTCTGTAGCTGGGAATATGTATCTAGGTGCTATCTCTTGCCGGATCGTATTAAGTCGGACGCGATGTTACTCAGCATTCTCTTAGATATATTCTGCATTCTTCTTGCGGCTTTGTTAGCCACGTCCAGTGACTGATGAAGTCGATAACTCTCCAACTAAAAACAAGAACACGATGGCGGTAATTCATTTTAAAAAACTGAGAGATGAAAAATCCAGCTCTTAGAAAAAAAAAAAAAAAAAACCTAAGAACAAAAGAGAAGTAGCACCACGCGCTTCTGAAAAATGTTTTAATTAATCAATCAGAGAAGCAAGTAGAATACTGTGAACGTAGGTAAATCTTCCTAAACACTTCTTAAAAAAATAGGGCTCGTTCAGGTTCACGGAAATTGTATCGATACATAAAAATTACTACTATACGTTCATGTTTAGGCATGGTTTTTGTAATCGATTAGGAATCGAAGTCACGACATCTTAGAAATATCCTAGAAGACTAGTCTAAATTTAGTCTAAGACTAAATTTGAAACGCTTTAAGAGTTGAAAGTTTAAATTCACCCACGGGTTACTCACAAGTGTCGTGAACCGTACCTCGTCTCCTTGGTGAATTCCCCAACCGCTGTTACTTGGACTTGGGTTACTTCTAAGTCGGACGTGCCTGCTAAACAAAACAAAAATAGTTTTTTCCTTAGTTTTACTTAATTACAACATTGAACCCAGTGACTAGCCGACATTTTACCTCCGAGATGCAGGGTATTCTTCGTCACTTTCAGAGTCATCGCTGTCGGATACCACATAATCCCGCCGGTTCCTGGACTTCCCCCCCCGGGGAATATGATGGATATGATGAACGGTTGTGGTTTCGTTTAGCACCCCGGGGGGCGCCACCGGTACACCGGGTACAACTCCAGCTGGTACTACGGACGATGAGGTAGCCGCTCCCGGATAAGTATGTGTGTGATGATGCATAGGCGATGAGACAACACTAAGAGAGGAGAGAAGAGGGAAATATAATTGCGGATAATTTAAATAGATCTTAAATCCAGGATTCTTTACAATCCGTTCACCTCTACTTGCTAAAACTCTCTCTACCAACTGAGGAGATGAACGGCTATTTCAAGTTTAAGTCTGTATCTTACTTGTGGTAGTAGGGTGAGTACGGTGTGGAAGTAGCCGCAGGGGTAGTGGGGTGGTGGACATAAGTGTTCGTTAACCCTGGAGTGTAAGGCGTCTGCGTCTCAGTATGACGGCGAGGTCGCGAGGTTGGTGTCCGTGTGGTAATCATCGGGGTTTCCTGCGCTGGTCCAGAATACCCCGGATAGAAATAATTCCCATGACTGTGAGTGCCAGAATCTCCGCAGAAAGGACACAAAAACTGCATCGTAGTGACCTCGGGTTCTTTTGTGGGAGCTGGCGAAGGAGATCGAGAACGAGAAGGTCGCTGGCGATCTCTTTGTTTTAAGTCTCCTACGTCCCTTGCTAGTTCTTCGATTCGTCTTCTTAGATCGTCGTGAGGTGTCGTCGTACTTGTTGCTGCATTTTCTTTGCTTCGAGACATTTCGTTCGCCAGATCATCGTATTTTTTCTGAAGATTGTCGTATAGGTTCGCCATTTGTTGTTCAGCACCTCTTCGGGCCATCTCTCGTTCCAGATCGTCGTGTCTCCGTCGGAGGTCGTCGTACATCTGAGCTTGCAATCCGCGAGCGTTCGAGTCTTGCTGCAGTTGCGTACGCAAGCTCTGAAGCTCCTCTCTCAGTTTATCAATAGGATCTCTGTCAACAAAAAAATGTAAGAATTTCTCTTAACACCGAAATGATTACTAAACTAAATACGCGAAGAGATGCTCTTTGCAGGACAGCAAGTTAAAGAATTTGAACTACTCTGGCTCAAACTGAAGACATCTCAAACAAATAATTATCGTACGAATGATTAAGAAATGGTAAAACGTTTTAGACCCTTAGATGCTAATAGTATTCAACATCCAGGCAGTGATCACACCACGATGAATTAATCGAACAACTTGATTTGTTACGCCTTTCAGGTTTTAAAGTAACACGAGAAACTGAATAATTCACCGGAAAACCTTTGACCACACTTAGTACACAAGGGCATCTGTAAATTCATATAATAAACACAGTAACAATAGAGATGTCCGCTTGGCATAAAGAACAGCTATCTGCATACCGTCTGCACAGCGGTAATACTAACCGACGATATCTCCGTTCGTTGTCACTGTATCCACTCCTACTATCGTCACCTCTCCTTGACCGCCGTCCCGACCGCACGGATTCACGGTCACCCGGGTAACTGCGCACGCTCTGTTTATCCATTGGCCGGGACTGATCTAACCGCGGGCCTATGAGAACGATAGGAAAAAAGAAATTAACGAATTATAAAATGCGGTATGAAGCTTTAGGTATACTGTCTTCGTTATAGTAGTATCAGTATTGTTATTAATCTCTATTTTATTTATTTATTTTTTCCAAACTTAAAAGCATGGCAGAACTGCGCCTCCAGTTCGATGAAAAGTATATACATTAAAATATTAAATACTCCAACAGCCCTACGTTACCAAATTTACACCGAAACGAGACCAGACTGCTTACATTTGAAAAAGTCCCTATTGTTGTACGAGGATCTTGAGAAAAAGAAAAACTCAGAGCGACCTCTTTAAAACAGCTATTAGTATACTTAAATAATGACTCGAGTAGTGGTGAAAAGTTGTGTTATGAAATAATAAGAACACCTCTAGGAATATCGATAAATTAAGTATCTAGAAAGGAAACAATAATTCAAATGGAATCCTTAGTTTCTATCCTCTGAACTTTTGAGAATATCTAGAAATCTGCGATTTCTTGCCACTGCGCAAAAGAGATTACAACTATGAACATGTTAACGGCACCAGAATAAGTTTAAAACGTGAGTCACCTCAAACACTTCTCTATCTTTCTCGATCTCTTTAGCAACAGCAATTTGCATGCGAGAGTCAAGTTTCTAGCGTGATTATCTTTAACCATCGATTCACAATGCATGTAAGGAGACCAAAATTACACTTAAGGCACAAATGTTTTACAACAAAAATGAGCCTAGTACTGTACCTCTGTCTAACTCATCCATTGAGATTCAGGAGAAGAGCAAACTTTACAGTAACACAAACAATTTGCCTAACTCTCTACTAATAAGCTTATTACCCAGTTTTCATATCATCGTACGATTATATATTATTCATAACCCTGTATCTGCTTCAAGTGCTACACCCCAAATATACGTTTAATCGCTGCGGCTAAGCTAAGCATTTACCTCCTGGAAGACCCTCTCGAATGAAGAACATGTCCTCACATTTTCTACCAAAAATGACATCTCTGAGTTACGCATAACTCTTAAAAATACTGGATATTTGCTTACGCTAACCGTACGGCAAGTAAACAGTCATATATCTGATTGGATTGCTGATATATAACTGCCAATATTATATACCTAAAAACAAAAACCAATGTTTTCCCCGACCAGTCTCCAAATACGGTGAAGATCCTACACAAATTAACGAACCACATAGTCATCAAGTAACAAAAGAAATAGCAAATTCTACTCTGAGAAATCAGCAGTAATTTGAGAGAAAACAAATGGCGAAAAAAGATACCGCAATATTTGACAAAACTCCGCCGCAGCATAAGAAATAAATTGTGCGAACTCGACCTTCATAAAACGCAGTTTCTGGACCTAAGCACCAACACCAATGTTTCTTATTGTGATGTGATAAAGATAAAACACAAAAGACCCTGTGTTGGTGCAATTTAGTAGCACAATACAACCGTGTTGCACCTGGCGCCTACGAAGATTATGTTTTAATGAATGCACGTTCAAAGGCAGTAAAATAAACTCTGAAAGAGGACATATCAAACGAATAACAGTATAAAACCACAAAGACGTAGATACCGGATCTGTTTATCCAAACGTTAATTTATGACTACAACGAGAAGGTTCGTTACTTGAAAAAAATAAATTAATTAAAAATAAAATAAATAATCAGCGCTGGTGTGTGCACACTGGTTTGTTGAACAAAACATCACGCATCAACTTTCGTTTTGTATTTCATTTTTTCTGTACTTCTCAAATTTAGAAACTGAACTTAACCTTTAATTTTATTGCTAAACCGAAACATTTTCAGAATTTAAATAATTCGCTTTAGGTCTCCTAGAGTTTAGACAGGAATCGCAGAAATTGCCAGCACTGAATCTCCAATACGGAGGTAACTAAATGATAAAAAGGAAATAGACTTCAAGTTCATTACTTAATGAGGCAACACCATAGAGCGACCTTATCAATGCAATGGCTGTTCAAACTGTAAATAAAGGATAACAGCCTTTCGTTCTATACTTATGTCTCAGTGAACACCGAAATTCTTAAGAAATCGTATTTGATGTTTATTAGATGAAATACTTACCAGTACTTCTTGGAGTATTAGTCCCCTTCTTGTGGCGTGTGGTAGTCTTAGACGTTCTCCCACTCACGGCACTAGGCACTGATCTTTCTCCTGTACCATCTTCGTATATGCTCGGAGTAGACGCATGCCTTCGTAAACTGTCGTCAAGTCTTCGAACACCTTCGTTATCAGATCGGTGGGTAGGATGAGTTGGAGTATGCCGATGACTTCTTCGTTCTCGCTGAGACGACGGCGTTCTCGTCGTAGGTTTGGAGTGAGTTGTCTCTAAATAACGATCCTCGTCGCTTTCAGACAGCGACTGCAAGGAGGACCTCCGTCGCCTCGCATCTCTATTTCTAGGAATTAACTTCGGCGCATGTTTCGGCGCCGTGGTGAGGATCCTATCATCTTCAGTCTCTGTTGCAGATTGTTCTTGTAAAGGTGCACTGCGTAGTTTAGTCTCAGGGTAATAAGGGGGCGGAATGTCAGGGGATTCGAGGCCCCGTGATATGCGACTTCCCTCCGAACCAAAGAAGCCGCTATCGAAACCTCTCTCAGAATCTGCCGCTGGGTTGCGATACTTTCCCCTACGGTTAAGCTCTCTAGGCTGAGCAGGCCCGTTCCCGTTGGGAAGGAAAAGGGGCGTGGAAACACGACTATCTCCCGACACACTCGCTCTTAAAGGACGACCATGAGTAACCCTGGAGGGCTTTCGCACGTTATCATCATGTAACACGTTTAACGTTCGTGGCGGTTCTCGCGTGCTATTTCGCCGCGATTCTTGCGGCTCGTGCTGTTCACGTGGTGAGCTGTGAGTACTAGCCATGCGATCGCGTGAATCAAAGGGTTCGACTGGTTGAGTATCATGCGAGCTATCGTGAGTGGGAATACTGTTACACCCAGGCAGTCTCGATGCTCTAGAACTGGCACGTGACCGTTTGCTACTGCCCTCACTCATGTGACTGTCTTGGCGTCGTGGAGGCGGAGGAATTCCGCTTACGCTGTTACGCACAGGACTAGACGAAGCTCGGGGTGATTTAGAACTACCAGGGGAGTTCTGTGGAGAAGGTAAGCTTGAAGATGGAACATAATTATCTCCATCATCCTCTGGGGGTGGGGGTGAGTCGAAGTCCTCTGTGTTGGCGCGGCTGCGGTGGCTGTTGCTCCTTGACCGCTGTCCAGTACTTGAGCCAATTGAAAGGCGATGAGGGCTGGAAATAGAGCATAACTAGGCTTATGATTTTCGTCACCTCACTCGGTTTAAAGTTACTTCTCTTCTACCTCAGTCCGGTTAACAAATCATAATTCCAGAGAAAAATATATCAAGAATTTTTCTTTACTTCGAGTAATAATTTCACAGAGCTAAGGCTAAACTAAAGGAAAGTAATATCTCCCAACAAGCCCATTACGTAGCAAACACCCCGTTGATATGGCGGTTTCCATATGGTTTAAAATAAAACCGAACGAGGTTTTTTTCGGTATAATCAATATACATCGTGAAAAGCAATATGCCTCTCTATGATAGTGTTTTTCTTCCTACCTTGTGTGAGGTAAGGACCTTGTTCGTATTCTATCGTGTGGCCCTTGACTGTTTACGAAGTACTGGCTTGACAACGGCTCAGAGAGGGGGTCTTGGATCACACTCATAGATTCTGACGCGAAGTAACCAGACTCCTGTAGTTCCAAAGGTTCGGCTTGGTCACCAAGCCCCTGACGAAAAAAAAAAGAAAGATAAAAATCCGATCGACCCATAGGGAACTTGTTACAATACCGTCTAAGAAGAGCTGTATGTGCGAATTGATCTTTCGCCAGGAAGTGAAGGAGTTTCATCGACACGGAACAACGCAAAATTTAAATTCCTTAACGGTAACGCGCATAACACGATGCGGTAATTAAGTTCTCACCGAATATTCAAATCTTCCGTCCAAAAGAACCAAGTAGAACTCTTCTAGCGAGCCTGTATTTCCAAAACAGTCATCGTTCATTGCTTCCAAGCGGTCAAATGCAGTGTTCAGATGAGGAAAACGCTCCAACTAACAGCAGATCTACGCCAAACTTGAACCACCGAGGTGAAACTCAAAGACATATTGCATGCGAAGGCATTTCCGAATATTTTCGACTAATAATGTTGGACCGAGTACAGTTTTAGATGCCAAACACGACAAGGTGGAGAATCATATTGGCCTGACTTCTGACACATCACCACTCACATAACAGAGATTATGTTTGAAAGAAATGTGCTGACGAAATTTAGCTTGAATCTCACTAACAAACCGTCAGAAACACAGTAACGCGGAGCGCGCACTTCGCCAAGACAGATGATTGGCTGAGAATCCAATGTTGTGATACATTGAATGCCACATGTTACGCTGCGTAACTTCGCTTTAAATTTGCGTGAACGATCAATATTCTCAGAAAAGAACTCTTCGGCAATAATATCCATGGGATAAGACTTGCGTTAGGAACTAAAAGCCCTTTAAGTGTACATTTTACCCCTCGAGTTTAATTTTGCTTCACGGTATTCAAAGAACTGACGCCGTTACTTACAAATTCATTACGAAAAACTATTGATACCACGCTGTGTGCTAAATTCTTGTTTATAAACGACTTTAATTTTGCATATATTGAAACGATTAGTTTAGTCTGGCCTAATTAAATTCCCACAAAACCCTGTGTTCGAGATATAGCTGAGAAGTTACATTTGTAAACTTTAAACTGTTAGATGCCAAACTAAGTCCTTACATTTTGCTGTACAAAAATGTTTTTGATACCTGTTTTTCTTCGCCCTCGCTATCTGGAAGCGGACCTGCAGGCAAAAATAAACAAGACATCAGCTCGAATTCCACAGCAAATAATTACAGCTATTCATCTAAGGAAACAAAAACTCTCCGGTTCACTTAAGCATCCTTACGAATTACAATAAGAGTGAGAAAATAGCTGCAATTATTGACAAACTCTTGCTTGATCGCAGAAAGGGCTTTTCGCGTACAGTTGATAGAGAAATGCTCAAATCAGAAGAGCGTGGTTTATTCTCACAAAGAACTTAACGATTAACTAAAACGTTTTTTAGTTTTCACCTTCAGATTGAGAAACAATTTGTTACATGGTACGTACCCAGCGAAAACCTTCTGGAAAAGTCATCTTCTCTTCCAACGGAATTTAAATCCAGATCTCCTACATCATCAGAGCTGTTCCCTTCTCTGCAATCGAAATAAATAGACACTGATAAATACACAAAAAATCTGGGAATTTGTTGCAATAAAATAATAATTTTATAGAATCAATTCAAGCAATTTGAATGAAAACTCAGGTTGTTGATCTTCGAAGCAAAAACAAAAACAGGGGATCGCATTTGTTAGTGTCTAATTCTATCCAGATATTTTAATTTCTTTACATCACTAATTCAGCTCAATTGTTATCTCCGTTTCCATCAAAGCCAGCTGTAATGATAGCAAATGGCAATCATTTCAAATTCATATACATAAGGCCGAAAGCACATTGCCGACAACATTTTCTCCCTTCAAAGTTAGCCAAAAAAATCGCAAACAAATTATCATATGCAAGTGTTCTCATATTTTTTTCACATGGTCCTCTTGCAGCATTCTATTTTCAAAGCATACATACGAAGTGTGCATGTGGTGAAAATAAGAAAATTTATTATTGAAACCCTTGACGAAGTCAGTTAGATCAATCAGCGTACTTTCTGAGGCACAGCAACCAACCCAGTAAGATCTCAAATGTGTTCATTGGTATCAATAGTTTGGACTGGCAAATTTTGCTCTGATATTTTTCAGTATCTTCAAAAATATTACGCGCACACAAAGGACCAAAGGCTCTTAAAACGTAAATGAAAACTCTCGAAACGATTGTATCAATAATTATTTTCTGCAGCACGAATCATAAAGCCAATGATATCCACGCTACGAAACCATAACAGAAACAAAATATCGGAAAAATGCTTGGTTGTTAAATAGGAAAATAGAGCCACTTTTGCAACCAACCACAGTAAGCTCAGTCTGTTTAGGTACGCTCTTGAAATGATTTGATAACAAGCATCACATTGATACACGCAAACGTGTCTTAGAGAAAGGAAAGGAAAACAGCTCGAATATAACAAAACATTTTAGGTTATAAAATCCAGGCGACCCGTCAACTTTTGGAAAAAAAAGCTTCATGATTTGCGAAATGTAACTGCTACGAGCATATTCATAACTGTCCAAAACCTTAAATGAATCCCTTCAATGTAAATCACGTCAGAGCGAAAAAAGAAATTAAAAAATAAATGAGCTAAAAGCGATTACATGATTACAGCCCAGCGGAAAATCCTGACTATTTCTTCGTCTTCCCTTGCTTCATTTTCACCTTCCAATGGCGCGTTCGACCCCATTCACAGAAAACTCTTCTACGCCTGCGTTCCGACGCGATATGGTCGAATATAATACTTTAACGCAACATCAGATTTAAACACTGCTTCCAGATATTAACATATGTGGTATTGATCTATCTACCAGCCGTTGAAAATCTCTAGGATACACCTGCCCTGGTGAGCAATGCAGCTATTTATCCATGCTAATATGTGTAGCTCGATGTTCAGGAACATTAACCAAGGTTTTTTTTTTTTTTACGTACAAAAAATATTCTTCAGTTTTTTGCCCTTTTAGGCAGCATAATCGTTACTGCAAAAATCACAAAAAGAAATTTAATTTAACTTTTCGAATTTCTTCCCGGTGTAAGGAAATTTAACGTTAGTAAAACATTATATTGTTTACCATACGATAAATATTCACCGTTTCAGTAAATAAGACAACTTTAATTAAATCGTCTATTTATACCTTGTAATCAAAGCAAAAACGTGACAAAAGATTTAAAAGAAACCACACTGTGCACCTTTTAAGGATGAAAGAACTCAAGTGGCTACCATGAGAATAACAGAGATTCACAAAATAGTTAAAAATATATTACAAGAGCAATTTTACAAGATTAAGATTGATCCTCAATTCTGTGGCAGATTTGCCAACAAATATTTCAGGGTACATGTGTGTGGTAGGAAAAAAAACCATTAAAATATAAAACTAAAGGCACAGAATTAAGAAGCTTAGAATGCTTCACGATAAGGGTAGGTGGCAAGAAGGTACATGTACTAACTCCATTAATAAAA